CCCCAAAACCCCAAAACCCCAAAACCCCAAAACCCCATTTCTAGCCCTCATATTGGACTCCAAAAATACCATAATTCTTGTTTTCTCTCTATCTGCACTATCAGTCGACTCCTGAACTCCCACAAGTAATTAAGTTTAAGTATTCTCAAATGTTTCTCTCTATTGACCTTATAGTATTCATTTTATGAGTTTGCTTAAAAGGACTGTATTAAAATTCTATGAATATATAAATTTTAAAACCTCACTGTGTAACTCGAATAGCGTATATAATCTCCTAGTGCCTTGTAGGAATCATTGCTGATGGAGAGCTCCTTTTAAAGGATTTTAACTACAGATTTCTCTTTAGAAATTATGAAATAGATACATTTTACTAGAATTATTCCTTTAAATGCATGATGTACGAATAGCCTTCGTTCAGTATGGTATCAATCTTGAAGTTGAACTCAGTGTAGTCCTTGAGGTATGCTTTCCTGAGAGCAGTGATTTCATCAAGCCTTCTGTCTCTGTAGGAGAATTTCGGATTCCCCTTCTTTGACCTATCAGTTTCGATCTGAGAATCTCTCGAAATTTGTTCAGCCTTGAAATGGCTCACACTTGGAATCCCAAGCGTATGCTTACTGTGGATTTTTGGCATTGAGTGAGCATTTCTTTTCCTTTTTGTATTATTAAGCGAGACTTCAGAAGAATTTGCTGAATCAAGCTTGTAGTCCACCTTCTGTGCCTGAGCCTGCTTGACATTTCTAATTCCAGTGAACATAAATGGGTTCTTCTTATTGATAGATTTGTGAAAGTTCTTCACAGAGTCCTTCTGTTGCTTATTAAAACTTTGCCTCAACAAGATGTCAAGCTTCTTGTTCTGCAGATTTTTAACAGACCCAATAGGATTCCTTTGAAGAGATCTCTTGAATAGAGAAGAGTTGACTCCTGGCTCAACATTGATCTGCTTCCCTTTTTGTATAAGGAAAGAGCCTAAAGTCTGTTTAGGCTTTTTCGGCATCTTGTTCCTCTCCTGCTTCTTCTCAAGATAAGGTAATAATAGTTGCTTAAGTGTGGTCTTTTTGTCTACATCTATGATCTTAGCCATGCTTCGTGCATGACTTCCTCCTTTAATGTCACTTGAGGTATCACCTTGACTGTGATGAAAGGTAACCTTGTTCTCATATTTTGATATTATGCCTTTTACTTGGCTTCTTTGTTTTTGCCCTGGAAACTCAGCTCTATTTCCTGTCTAAAATAAATTGTCAAACTGTAAATTATTGTAAGATCTGTTGCACAAGCAACTGGAGATATTTAAAAGGTATTTTATGAAATAAATATTTTACGCATATCTAAGCTTAAGAGTTAATTCCACTGTTTACATGGGATCCATTGTATTAACTAGTTTATAATTTTCACTTTCGCCCATGTAAAAGCAAAATGGCTCAAACGAATGTAAAAGAGGGATGATTTCTACCACATTCTTTGCTAAAAGTGCTTTCATGAGTACTTAGGATTCAACTTCTAGGTCTCTTAAGCTCTAATAATCTCTAATTCTACAGCAAGAATTCAGTGGTAAGCTCTATTTATCCTTATTGGTTGTCATCCTGAGAGATAATCCTTATGATGACAAACTGGACCTTGTTCTTTACCAACAAGTAACTTTAGTGTAAGCTTAAGAGGATTTTGGGCATTCTTAAGACCTTTAGGTATGTTTTATAAGCCTGTTTGTAAAAGGAGACACTGTGATATAGAATTGGAGGAGATGGATTTAGACAAAATCAACATTTTTGAAAATTTATATCTCTTATTCTCCTAAATATGAGGAATCTTACAGAGATAACGTTAATTTATCTCTTGCAGAGCAACTTAATCTAAGGCATATAGAGATTTTCAGATATATCTAAGCAAGAATAGACCAAGGCCAAAAAGCACTCAAGACTTTATGACTTGAAGGAGAAATATGATTAATGGTACCTTTCAATCGATTAGCTTCGAGCTTCATCTCTACGCCTTCGGACTCACTCACTGTTTCGGACTTCATAGGGGAGCGAGAGTTTGTTTTCTTCTCAATAGAATTGATTGTCATCTTGTTATCAATTCTGAACTTGAGGTTACCTATAAGAACATTGAGTCAATCAGAAGGAGAAGCGGGTAAATCCGAGTAGATTTTGGACTCTAGCTTACCCATCTTTTTAAAAGCGTCGTAAGATTTGAGCTCTTCTTCTTGCTTATTTATACATATTTCTGAAACTTCTCACGACATTATCAATCTTGGTGAAGGGGTTCTTTGGATCTTCTGTTTCTAAGCCTGGCTCCATGATACTCTCTCTGTATGTATTCATCTATATTTGGTAAAAATTTTGTCAAAAGTTGAGTCCAAATGTCAGAGTAAAATTCACGCAAAAGTTCTATTTTTGTAATATCTAATTTTTTAATTAAAATGCTCAAAGTACAGATTTATTAACCGATTGGTTCTTGAACGAAATCTCTAAATATTTCTCACAATTTGCCAAGTCACCTCTTGAAAAATTGCATAAGTAACATTCCTATGAATTTTATGCTATATCTCCAATTCGTGCAATTCTAATAAAATATTTATTTTAAGTTAAGATTTCTTCCTAATTGTGCTAAATCTACCCTATATGTAGCAAATGTTATTCTTATTCACTCTTAATGGACTATAAGTCCTCAGAGATCATTGGATTATACAGCCAAGGCTTACTTTTGCAGATCTCTTTGGGAATATTATAAATTATAAATCAAATATAATCAAATAAAATGGGGTTTTGGGGTTTTGGGGTTTTGGGGTTTTGGGGTTTTGGGG